TATATGCATTTCTTAGCACCTTCCTTTGGTTCAGAGTTTCAACAATAGATTTTTATTTTATTTTAAAAAATCAACCTATTCATTAAAAATTCAAGAATAAATTGTCAAATTGGCCCTTAAGTCAGTCAAATAATGCAATTAGATCTCCTAATTAAAAAAAAAAAAAAAAAAAAAAACAACAAAAAAAACAACTCCATTCAGATCTCTTAAACTTGTAAAATTATTTAATTGAGTCCAAATTGATTTGTTTAGCATGTTTGACACGTGTCTTTTTTATAATATTTTTACTTAATTATTGAATTAAAAAAATACAACTACCAGCGGGAACAGGCACGGTTGTCTAGAAATGACGGTCATGCCCGTCTTCGTAGTATGTGAGTCTAAACTTAGCAGACTCTTCAACTATAAAACTTTCTTTGGTTCGGGAAATTAAAGCATCATATGCTATGACAATTTCTTGAAATTGTACGTATGTATTCAATATATTGAATCTTCTCTGGAAGTTTATCCCATGTCATAATATCTTCGAACAATACTTTTCACCTTTCAATATATTTTGGAGAAAAAGTTTTAAAAGTTTTATATAGGAAATTATCATATTAATTAAATTAGGCATTAAAGAAATATCTAGCTGTAAGATAAGTAACACAACTTGAACAAATAATTGAGAAAAAGAACCAAGTGACTAACTATATATATGCACATGTGAGCCAACAAGTAGTGAGAGATACCTTTGTACTATACCTTTGGCCATATCTGCACAAATAATGCCCCAATGCTGCAAAAGTACAGAGAAGACCAAGACTTATCGCAATACGCCCTTTATGCATTAAACAAAAATTTAATATAAGAAAAGAATTATTTCAAATAATATAAAAATCATCTCTAAATATTTGTTTTTTTTAATTGAATACGGAATACAAAATAATTGTATAATAAATAATTTTTTTCGGAGTAATTGTTACATGAAACTGTTTCATATAAAATATGTTAATACTTTTTAGTTAAGATATAAAAGGAATAAATATTGTTATCTAACTAAACTGAGTAACATGATTAACAATATATAATTAGTCCACTAAAAGAAATATCTAGCAGGAAAGAGTGCAATTTGAGCAAATAATTGAAGCCATGTTCAATGGATCAACTTTTGAAAAATTATTTGTACTGTCTTTATTCCTGGCCATTGTCTAGCTAGTGCACCTCCTTGATTGTGGATCACCCGACACATGTACCTACATAAAGCCACATGGATTTGATAGGAATCCAATGACACACATTTGTTTACACAGTTAGGCTGTGTTAGAAGAATTCACATAAACGAAGTGGAAGCATTAATCGTTTTTTCTATATTCTACTTTTAAAAGGAGAGTTTGAATAATTTTACTGTTGAAGTGTGTTTTGGAAGAAACATAACTTGAACCGTTCAATCGTCCATTTGTCGGCAACCCAGTTAGAAGGCTTGCCTTCTTCGGTGAGAAGACAACTCCTTGCCTTCTCACGGGAGAAGGCATTCTCGACTCTTCTTTTTTTTTTTTTTCTTTAATATTTTAATTAACTAATGTTTTAATGAGGTTTGACCAATTGGTGCAAATAACAATTTGACTACCTATTTAGCTATTTACACCACCTATATAATTATTAAATTTTTTTTTTATCTATTTACAATTTCAAAATACTTTATATCCATTTTTGACTAAAAAGTGATGCAAATAGCAACACCCTTTATATACGGCATGGTGGGGTATTTTACAAAATTTCCCCATGATGGATTATTAACTCCACAGTCTCAAACATGCTGTCAGAAAAATACAGAAAACACCATTATAATATATATGGGGACCACTATACTTTTTTCCAATTTTTTATACAGAATTCTGCACAACTACTGATGCAATAAAAAGTTTGTTAATATATACACATGGACCACTACACCCAACCCGTCAAAACTCATACAAATATAAACACATATGCACAAATATATAAATCTTTTGGTTTAAAAAGTAATTGAAAAACATGCAGTATAATAGCAGAACTTGAATTTCAACATTGAAACAATTTTAAAAAGAACATTAATTTGCAGAGCCCCACTGTCCACAGTTGTAAAACGAAACCCGTTACGCTCAAGAATAGAAGAAATACATAGCTTCAAGAATGCTACTAACCTTCAACTTTTCTGATTTTCGACCAAAGACCGACTTGATGTTGGAGGAGCGATTTAGCCGGTGTTGGTAGAGTGGATCCTAGCTTTTGTCCGAGAGAAACTCATATATATCAAATCAATTAAGCATCTCTTTGGCAAAAGTTTTGGGGTAAGAGAGGCTTGAACTCTCTGCCTCAGCATGAGACCTAGGCACCAATCGTTATGCTATGCATCCGTATGCACCATGCATGGTGCATACGGATGCCAAAACGACGTCGTTTTATTAAAAAACGCACGTTTCCCCTTTAAAAAAATTCAGGTTCGATTCCCAGCAACAACATTATATTGTTCATTCATTCTGGAATTTTAGTTCATAGATTATGGAATTATAGTTCATTGATTATGGAATTATAGTTCGTCGATTATGGAATTGTAGTTCATCGATTCTGAAATTTTAGTTTATAGATATGAAATTATAGTTCATCGATTATGGAATTTTAGTTCATATTTTGTTGCTGGGAATCGAACCTGATTTTTTTTTTTAAAGGGGAGACACGCATTTTATTAAAACGGCGTCGTTTTTGCATCCGTATGCACCATGCATGGTGCATACGGATGCACAACATAATTTGCCCCTACGCACTAGCCAACTACGCCACCACCCCCTTAATCAATTTGTCACCTGACACAACCTTCTTGCTGTTTATTCAGCAATTAAAATATAGGCCTTCATCTAAGCCATTCATATTCTTGCACGTTCCTACCAACATCTAAAGTTAGTTCAAAAAATATTTGGTTGACAGTAAATATTTCTTATCTTATATCCTTAGATTAAGTGTTTTGAACAATGAAGAGTAATTTTTAAGAATTTGGTAAGTATATTAATTACTTTCTTGTTGATGTTTATTATTTTTAGGCTTGTTGATGCTTATTATTTTAGAAGAGGTTACATGTGAATTATATATCTTAAATAAATAAATGTATACGGAGTAGAAGTTAAAATAATACAATAATTATATAAATCATTTTAAGTTTAGGAAAATTGACACTTTTGATTCCCAAATTGTTTCATTTTTAAAAATTTGATCCGTGTAAGTTAATTTAAACAAATTTAGCCCCTTAATTGTCTATAATGTTATACTTTTAATCCTTATTGTTATATAATTGTTAAACTCCATTAGATATGAGTTTAATTTTGTCATTTAGAATCAATTTTATGGTTAAAAATGACGATCACATTGAGAAAATGAGACTTTAACTATGAATCTTGATTCTAAATGATAAAAATAACTTCATAAAAAATGATTGCTAATAGAGTTTGGTAATTATATAATACCAGGAACTAAAAGTGTAATATAATAGACAATTAAAGGATTAAAACTGCTTAAATCAATTAATAGAGACCAAATTTTCAAAAGTGAAACAATTCATAAGCTAAAAGTGTTGTTTTCCCTAATTTTATTTTGATTAATTTATTTTAGAAGAATTATCTTATAATCAAAATCAATTTCAATTATTAATAAATTAATATATGATTTTTACATCGTAGTATCTGTTCGTATACTTTCTCAACCTACTAAAACACAAAGAACCAATAACGCCTCCATTAAGGCTCGAACTCACAACTTTTCAAATGGAAGTCCAACCTGTGTATCATTAGACCATATAGTCCTGGTCAAATTGTACTTAATATCTTTTACATTATTTATAATTTGTTATTCAAATTCATATTTATATAATTCTTTCATGTATTGCGTAGATAAAACACTAGTTAGATTTTCATTAAGATATAGTGTAAAACATAAATATTTGGAGATATTTCACATAGAGCAATAATTATACACTAGATACCAAGTGGCTTGTAGTCCGCTGGTATCGGGTTGCTCTCCTAAGTGAGAGGTGTAAGGTTCGAACCTTAGTTGAGGCAATAATGTGTATATGTGGGGTATCCCCTTTCTTATAATAAAAAAAATAATAATTATTATACAGTAGATCATAATTTATCTTGTAAGATAAATTACTGAGATAAAACTTATTTTTAAGATACTAAATGTTCATTTTTAATGCATTGAATGTCCAATTTTTGTATACTCCATATGTCTCATTTTATCTATCCTATTTACTATTTATTGGTCAAACCAACTATTTCTTCTTATTTTAGTTTATTTTCTTTAGTATTCTTTAATTATTTTTAAATTTAATTTTTTGCGTTTAATACTATTTTTAGTGTAATTTCTAATTCTAAATATATAAATTTTATAAATTAGTACTAAACTTAATATTATGAAAAATTGGATTAAAATTAACTTCAATCAAACCTCATTAACCGAACCAAACACATAAAATGAGACAGAGAGAGTATTAAAAGTTCATTATTTGTTTTCAAAAAAAAAAAAAAAAAAAGTTCATTATTTAATATAGTATCAAACAATGAACCTTCCTACATTAAAAAATAACCTTCAATATACTAAAAATAAATATTTATTCGGATCTACATTAGAATGTGAATCATAATCCAGAATATAATTTGCCCACATCTAGTCATAGAGACAATAGACTAGAAGCATTCCAAGAGTTTGTTGGCTTTAACAAAGCTGATAAGCTCAGAACTTGGAGCTTTTTGAGGTCCAAACCATAATTTATTACTATATTATAATTTCTCTTGTACTACGAAATTTGCCCTCAATGATTTAATGCTATATTCAATTAAAAATTACTGTGAACCTATTCCTTATTTTTGTTAAAGATATTCATGGATTATTGATCAATTAAAATTGTAAATTGTTATAAAGGGCATAAATGTATAATTATCATTTCAAAGAAAAAAAAGGTGCAAAAATTCCAACCATTGCAAAAATTACCATCCCAAAACTTGGGCAAATTTTCAAGAATAGAAAGTACTGAGAAATGGCACTTCTATACAATTGACATGGAATAACAGGCTAGAAAATGTTTTTTTTTTTTTTTTGTTACATTCTCGAATCTACAGAACAAACATACATAACCAAATGCGGTTGCACAAAATTCACTACACATCACAAACCAAAAACTATTTTACACTAGCAAAAAATGAAAAAGAATGACAAGAGGAAAAAGAAAAATCAAAATTACCTTGGTTAAATGCGAATGAATGCTTCATCTTGTTAGTGGTTCTGTGAGAGTTAGAAAACCTCCAATTCTGGTTTCCCATTTTCAGAGGTTGTTGCCACTCCCTTCTCTCTAAAAGTCTAAGCTGATGTATATAGCACAACGTAAAGCAAGCTTCGTTGAATTGAGCAGGAATCTCAAGTGCATATACTAAAAATTGAGCTGGGAATGTAGCCTTTTTGTTGTCCCCGGGCATATGTGGCATCTAGCTTCACTAGTTTACCCCTAGTGAATCAAGAGATCCTTGGATATCAAGGCAATCCTTTGCTTAACACTCTCTGATCTGAGGGTTTCTCCTTTTAACCCCAACTGAAATTCAGAAAAGGGTACTCATAAGACATTTTGGTGCACAAAAAGGACAGTAAAAGATGATGATCAGTATTGAAAAAGGTGCATTGTATCATGGGCTGCACTGTATTGTATTTATTTACCTCAGTTTGGTTGTCAGGTGAAAACCACCTAAGCAGCACCCCAAGGTGCACCACAGCAGGTATTAGCTTAAAAAGCAATGGAGTAGTCACCTGAAGATTTGAAAACCACAAGTGCAAAACTCAGCAATCACAAACAAAAAGAACCAAAATCCAAGAAATTTATCCACTTCATATAAACATTATACAATGACACTTGAAATCCTCCAAAGAAATAGAAGCATCCAAGACTACAGATTCAGGATATTGAATGAAACAAATTGCTAATATTTTGATCCTCTTCATTATTCTCTCCCCTGCCCACCTCTCCAAGAAAGAGCATCAAACAGTCATGTGTGCTCATAATATGAAATCCATATTTTATATAGCATAAATTAAGTCCTTAAGAAGTACTGCAGGAAACTATTGAAAAAAAAAAAAAAAAAAAAAACGGATCTTGCCATATGATGGACCAATATTTCATCAAATGTAAAACCTTGATGGCAGTTACATGGAATGCTTAGGTTCTGTTGTACCAGACTAACATCACATGGGTTTTTGTCCTCCTTGGAGTCGGAGAAGCAGGTCACGTGTGGCACCGTCTCGCCGGAAGTTGCCGTTCTCTGAGATACTTCCATTAACGCGGGCAGCCTCTCCCCCTTGGTCAGCCCAGAAATATGGATCTTGTGCCCGCCGGAAGTCTTCTTGAATACTCTGCAGATCACCCATTCCTTCTGGGAAAACACACATAACAAAATCTTTTCACTTTTCAGAGGATTAAGATCACTTTCTGTCGCTCTGTTGGTTCTCTGCCCAGTTGGATACTTCCGGTCTCTAACCCAGAAGAAATACCATTATTTCTCCCTCCCTTTCACCACAGCACAGAAACCGTCCTCTTCCGATTGGATACTCTATTCCGCTGCTCCCACCGCTGTTAATAAGGAAATTATTGAAGCGGTCACCCAAGAAGGACCCCTATACTTCACGGTAGTTTAACGCTATTTCCACAGAAGAACAATGATGGAATAAATAAGAATAACTAATTTTAAAAAATCGCAATAATTAGAAGACCATGGCTGAAATTAACTCCTTTTAATTTATCAAACCTCTCGAAAAATTAATTTAACTCTTGAACAAATCTTTTCTCTCTAAAATCTTCCATTATATTTTATTAGCAGATAAAATCGTGCATAGCCCTATTTTATAGGCAACGAAGGCAACCTTTCTCAAAGCAAACCATTAAGTTATTTCATTAAGGATATTTTTGAAAACTTACCATTTTTTGCAGACTATCTCTAAAATGGTAAAAACACATTTAAAAATTCAATTGCCTTAAAAACTCTTCGAAATCTCTCATACGAAACTTTTTGCAAAATTTCCAAACTTCTGATCAGAACTCGTTTACAATATTCAAGAATACTTCAAAGCCGAAATCAACGAATAATATTTGACATACTGTGTTTGGATTCCTTGTTTCTGATTTGGACGTCGATGCCCATGGCTACAATCAACTTGACTTTTGGAGTGTTATTAGAGGAGAATGAACTACTGAAGTACCCAGACTATCACGGCAAAAGAAAACTCTAAAATTAGAATTTGAGAGGCTAATTGATATTATCTCTACAAATGTCTGGATTGCCGTGACTCGTATGATGATATCACACCCTAGAAAATCTATTGATGCATGGAATTATGGAAGGGATAAAATTCAATTGGGCCAAATACATTTTCAAAATACTAGTGTGTTATAAATAGGCAATTTATATCCTACACCACAGCGCGCGTTGCACTATGCGCCCAGATGCAAAACGACGTCGTTTTAATTTTTTTTTTTTTTTTTTTGAAATTTCCCGTCCCAGTGAATGGCAGTAGTTTTTTCTTAAAAAAGAAACCCGCTGTTCAAGAATGTACATAATGTTATACTAGAATACACATAATTGTATACATGAATGTACATAATTATATAACAAAATATACATACTCTTTTTAAAAGATAATACACATAATCTAACATAATACATAATAAACATAAACTTTTAACATAATACACATCAACTCTTAACATAATACACACAAATTTTCTGATTCGGATGTACATAATTGTATAAAAAGAATGTACATAATTGTATAAAAAATGTACATAACTGTATGAACCAATACACATAACTGTATGAACAAATACACATAACTTTGTGAACAAATACACATAATCCCAGCAACTTCCTACCGCGCCTCCCAAAACGACGTCGTTTTGGGAGGCGCGCGGCGCACAGTGCTATGTGCACCGTGGTGTAGGGTATAACGATTGTTATAAATATTATTATTGTGAACATTATATATATATATATATATATATATATATATATATATATATATATATATATATATATATATATTTGGGGTAGTAGTTGTAATTGATAAGGTTACTATGTTTTATATGTACTATTATTACCTTATATTTGGTGATACCTTTGTATAAATATGCTGATTGATGAATGAGAATATTGGCCTTTCCCTCTCCATTCTCTTGTATTCCTTCTTCCTCTTTGCAATTTCTCTGATTATACAACACGTTATCACTCTTGGAAAAGCTTGAATAGTTTAGTCCCGGAGACGCTCGTCCAGATGACGAGAAACCCTAGTCAATTCATAGGTGCACCAAACAAACATAATACTAGGGATGCGGGACAACCAGATGTGATCTGAATAGTTGTGGGAAATGTCTAGAATCTAATTGACTTAAATATTGCGATGAACAATTATAAATATGGGAGAAATTCTTGAAAAATATTATAAGTTGTCGACAACACTTTTTTTTTTACGCGATGCATGATGCCCAGGCAGACGTGCCCTCGGCCTAACGGCTTCGGGTGCAAAGACGTTCAAAAATATTATAAGTTGTCGACAACACAATTGCCTTCAAATTGCTCATATTATATGACAATCTGGATCCAGAGCTAGGTGCCAGAAGCGCCTAGATTGATTAATGTATAAAGAGAGCAATTAAACGCATATACAGCTCAACTCGCTAATATATTCCTTTCGTACACCAATGAGGTATTAACCATGTAGGTTACAAATGGTGTGGTAGGAAAACAAGAATAACGAGGTGATAAGATATGAAGCGAGTCTGTAACCTATGGGTTCACGCAGAGACCCTTAATTAATTTTAATCAAATATGCTCTTCCACAATAAATGACATTAAGTCCCGCTACATAATATTATTGTCAAAATAATAAACTTAGATATGCAACTAATATTAGGCTGTGTTTGGAAACCCGGAAAATGACTTCTGGAAGTCATTTTCCGGGTTTTTGGTGTTTCGCTAGACCTGGAAAATCCAGTCAACGGAATCCATTTTCCGTTGACTGGGGAAAATGAGGCCAATTTGGCAGAAAACGACTTCCGCCAAATTTGGGCGGAAGTCGTTTTCCGCCTCTTCTCTTTCATTTTTTTTTTTTAATTCTATGGTTTCTGGCGGAACCCAGTTTCGCCGGAAACCATAGGCTATGGTTTCTGGCGGAACCCAGTTCCGCCAGAAACCACCCTTGGTTTCCGGCGGAACTGGGTTCCGCCGGAAGCCATAATTTTTTATTTTTTATTTTTTGTTTTAAAGATTTAAAATAAATTTTTAATTTAGAATAAAATAATTAAAATATTTAATTATACCATTCTACTCTCATTTTTCACAAAATGAACCAAACAAACCAAAACAGTTTTCCAAATGCAACCAAACACTGGAAAAGGAAAATGTTTTCCGGAAAATGACTCATTTTCCAGAAATCATTTTCCAGAAGTCATTTTCCTGCTTTCCAAACGGACCCTTAATTTCAAAAGTCCTCGAAGGATTTTAAGTTCTCAAAATGAGAAAAAGTGAAAATCGCAACATTAAAATATTAAGGTCATTGTATGACATGAAATAATTAAGAATTGGCTGAGTTTTTTTTCCTTTCGAAGAAGGAATGTATTTATGTGTCATTATGTACTCTTTAAGGAGTTGCGAATGAAGTTATTATCCTCATTAAGAATGAATAATATGTACCATTATGTGCTCGATAAATGGTTGATAATGAACTTATTTATTATTTATTATCTCAGTCAATATTGATAGTGTAAACATCAATGAAATATCTAAACAACTTGATGATATTAGTTCATGTCTAAAGACGGAGATTTTTTTTAAGGCTTGGAAAATCTAAGTATTATCTCGACTTGAAGATCGAATTTTTCCTTGAATAATTTTATACACCAGTTAGCCAATATATGATTTTGATTGGATACTTAGACAAACAAATATATAATGGCTACTTGGGTACTGGCTATTATTTTGTATCTCCATAATGCCTAAGTTCCAAAACTAGTTGTATTTATACTTACCCCCATTGTCCCATAGAGGGTCAATAAAGACTGTGTTACACAAATGATAAAAGGATACATAATGAAATCCTTTTGACTAGATATTGTGATGTCAATATTATACCAAGTGAACTCCAGAAGAGTCACGAGATTATTATAGAGTATATTTATTCCATTGACAATTGTATATATTTATTTACAAAATTCCTCTATACATTTTTGGAAATTTAATGTATGAGAATTAAAGATTGTTATCTCGAGGGGGAGTATCATTTTACATGAATCAATCATGATGATTGGGTCTTGATGACTAACGGTTGTACTCTTTTCCTTAGTTATGTTTTTCCCCACGGGTTTTTCTTTAAATCTAAGGTTTTTAATTAGACAGCTAATCTAAAACAAGAATACACATACATCATGCACTTTTTTCTCAACTAGTTTTTCCCACTGGGTTTTCTAGTGATGTTTTTAACGAGGCATGAGTATGATATAATGTAATGTAAATGGGGAAAAGTTGTAAAATAATTACTTAAGTAGACAAACCCCGAAATCCTAAAGATTATGCCGATTATGCCTTGAAGGCATATGGTTGTACTCTTTTTCCCTTAACTAAGTTTTTCCCACAGGGTTTTCTTAAGTTAAGGTTTTTAATGCGGCAATCAGTACAATATAATATATGTTCTTACAAATATCATGTACTCTTTTCTTCAACTAGGTTTTTCTCACGTGGTTTTCCTAGTGAAGTTTTTAACGAGGCATGAATATATACATATATACTTTTTTGTCTAGGTCTTTTCCAGAGGGTTTTCCTAGCAAGTTTTTATGACGCAGGATCATGTCAAATAATGTCCAAGGGGAAGTGTTATAAATATTATTATTGTGGACTTTATATATATATATATATATATATATATATATATATATATATATATATATATATATATATATATATATATATATATATATATATATAGTAGTAGAGTTGTTGTAATTGATAAGGTTACTACCTTTTATATATATTGTTATTACCTTATATTTGGTGATACCTTTGTATAAGTATGCTGATTGATGAATGAGAATATTGGTGATACCTTTGGTGATACCTTTGTAAAACTAGTTGTATTTATACTTACCCCCATTGTCCCATAGAGGGTCAATAAAGACTGTGTTACACAAATGATAAAAGGATACATAATGAAATCCTTTTGACTATATATTGTGATGTCAATATTATACCAAGTGAACTCCAGAAGAGTCACGAGATTATTATAGAGTATATTTATTCCATTGACAATTGTATATATTTATTTACAAAATTCCTCTATACATTTTTGGAAATTTAATGTATGGGAATTAAAGATTGTTATCTCGAGGGGGAGTATCATTTTACATGAATCAATCATGATGATTGGGTCTTGATGACTAACGGTTGTACTCTTTTCCTTAGTTATGTTTTTCCCCACGGGTTTTTCTTTAAATCTAAGGTTTTTAATT